CCCCCCCCCCCCATTCTCAAAAAAAACAACCCCAAAGACTTTCTGAAACAGAAAAACCTTGCAGCTTACATAACCTATTTCAATTCTAATATAAAATTCTAGCCAGGTTGCGATGGACTTGGATGCATGAGAAAGAAGCAATTATTCAATAACATCACACTGAAGATAAAAGGTGTTTTTGCCTTAAAAATGCAGTTTAAAACAAAACTTTTTGCAGCAGTTTCTGAACTAATTTGCATACTGTATCATATTTAATAAATGAGCTTATATGCTGCAGCATGTGAAACAAGCGTGATAAATGGTACTAATGGGCAAGAATAAATCACCAGGCTTTCCAGCTTTTTAGGGTGATAAATTGAAAGATTTCTATAGAAAAGAAGCTGTTGGAAAAAGAAGGATTTTAAGGCATCTGCCTCTCATAGAGAGATAGAGAGAATTCCCTCTGCCAGTTTAGATTCCGCACCATGAGCCCTCTGGATGCTGTTTTCTTCTCTGTGGCAGTGAGGCTTGTGCTTCTTCTTTTTTTTTTTACTTTTTTTACTTTACACATTTTTTAGTTTTTGATTTTGTTGTTTTTTACCAAAAATAAAGAGCAATATATTTATATGAATTTACTCTGTGCAGAATTACAAGTAGAAAACATGAACCAAAAACATAAATCCCAGGATTCTCACTTAAAGGAGAACGTTTTACATAATTTCCAAGGCTAATTTAGTGTCAGTTGATCAATGAGGGATTACTGACAGCCTGAGGTAGAAAATGTATTTCTGGAAATAGAAGGCACTTGCTTAGTCTTATCAGACGAGCCACACTTACTGCTACAGCTCCAGCTTTAAATCAAAAATGGCTGCGATATGTTAAAAAAAGAAAGAAATAACTGCAGTACAAAAAAAATAAATAAATGGATGTTGTATCACTAAGAAGCATTGCTGCAAGAATGAAAAAATAAATTAAACACCATTATCCTTTTTTGTGTCAAAAGTATTTTAGCGTATATGTATATATTTCTGACTCTATACAGGGGAGAACCTTAGCAGCAAAATGTGAAAATCACCAAATAACTGTTAAAAAAATGGCTTAAATAAATCCAAATAAAAATGAAATTTGTGTCAGGGACGAACGAGTTTCAATTGTATTCATGGTTAATCTAAGAAAATAAGAACATTAAATCAAATGAAAGATAAGATATTTTACAAATGCTGTGATTAAGAACTATTTGGATCTACTGTTTATGGTTTTCTGCTTTTGTACAATTATAAACAGGGAGTTGAAACAGTCGGAGATGAGGTGAGATAGTTCAGATTGGCTTGAGAGCAAGAAGAACTGAAACAACAAGGAGCCGAGCGCAGGAGGAAAAATAAGGTCAACTGTCAGGGAGTATTGATGTTGAAAGCAAATTCACTCAAGTGGAAAGCCTGTGCTCTGATTTTCTTAAACTGAACACACACAAAGAGTGACATGGTTACATGCCAGTAGCTATGTTAAGATTTAGCATCAAACAAGGAGGAATGGAGGAGGTACGGTTACATATTATTCAAAGCTAATTTAGTGTCTTATTGATCAATGAGGGATTACTGACAGCTGGAAGTCAGAAAATGTATTTCTGGAATAAGAAGGTGTTTGCCGAGTCTTATCAGACTAGCCACACTTAATGCTGCAGCCATAGCTTAAAATAACACAGACAGAAACACAGAGAGTGTGTTCATTCACAAACTTTAGGATGGTGGGTGATTATGAAACTTTATTTTCATTCCAACGGTGCTGATCTACCGTAAATAAATCACAATGAAGTCAAACTTAACCACACATAAGAAGTTTTGCAGTTTAAAAAGTAATTCTATGCTTTCTTTTTTACTATAATAACAATGACATATTTCAAATCACTTGGAAAAACAAGTCAATTTTGATAGATTCACTAATTTGATATTGATAAAAACCCGAGATTGACTGCCCTAATAAAAAGCACCCTTAAACAGTTTCTGATTACTGGAGAGGTTAAAGAGCAGACACAGTGTAGTTGGTAAAGATAAAAATAAGGAACATAAGGGGTTTAAAGAAAATGATTCAAAATATACATCCTGCTCATCTTAAAGAAGCAGAGTGGAGTTTCAGCAAGATATATGAGAGGTTCTGCTGGAAATGAGGCCGTGCAATTAAGGGAATGATCAAATGAAACATGAAACGGAGCGAAATGTCAGTGGGTGGTGGAGAAAAGTGTATGTTTTTTTTTTCTATAAAGGGAACAGGGCATGAAAGAAAAAGTGGACTGTGAGAGAAAATGAGGGCATAAGACACAAAGGCGTTAAAACCCTTTGAAAAAAAATAAGGACTGAGAACAATTTTTCCACATTAAAACCACAAACGTCTGTGTATTGTTTTGGTATGGTATATGATACACCTACACAATGTTGCATATCATTTGAAGTGGGATTGAGAGGGAACATCAAATGTTTTGTGCAAATAAAAGCCTAGAAACATGACCTACATTAGTTTTCAACTGTCTTTATAATACAAACCACCCTGCAGACACCATAAAACCTGTTACAGCTACAACTGAATGGTTTAAATTTGCAGTATATATCTCAACAACTATTATTTTATGTATTCTCCTACTGAAAAACATTGCAATGTCACTCCTGTTCTCTGCAGACCTGAGTGGCATGTTTTTAAGATTGAATGAGCTCTGTGCAATCATGGACACATGCAGGACAACATGCAGGTCATTGAGAGGTGCAATCAGTCTCGCATGATTTAAATCAGAGAATTCTCAAAAGCAAGAATAACCCAGAAAAAAATAAATCTACATATCCAACCAAAAATGGAAGACAAGATTGAATTTAGGGTGTATGTAAATATGCAAAGCAGAGACACGCCTCATAAAAACCTGAAGTTCTTTTTACAGTCATTCCTGAAAGTATAGAGAGGACTGTATACAAATGCTAAACAAACCTTTCAGATTTTTATGTTTAAAGAAAGTGGACACCATGTTATGTTTTCTTGTTGGCTCTGGTTAGTCCCATAAAATCATGATAAAATAGCAAAAAATTTGTTTGTGGTTGTTGCATGAAAGATTTGAATATTTGTTATTGATTAATCTTTTATTACATTTTTAAGTTTACGTTCTATTGATGTTGAAATTCCTGAAGCACCAGAAATGTAAATATTGGATTAAAATGAACAGTTTTCATTCAAAAGGTGTGGGGGGAGAGTAGTCTGAATTGGGTTCTGGAGCTGTGCCCCACCTCATACATCGGACTCATTTGCCAGCCGCAAGTGATTCCAAACCAGCGTACACCACATCCACCAGTGGAGCTGAGAAACTGCGCCCTCTGGCTTCTCCTGTGAGAAATGCACGCTTTGGTCCATTATTTCTGTGCACTCGCTCACCCTTGTCAGGTGATACCCTGCAAGGGTAACTATTGGCTCTTGTCTCAGACCTTCCCCGAGGTGATTGGACGAGTGACGAGCACTCAGCATGTGACCTCTACAATGAGCTTCCTCCCACACCAGGAAGCCGAGCGCAATCTTCCAGCTATATACCTCGGACTTTTAAAACCAAAGACGATTATGGTGTAAGGTTCATGTATAAACACACTGGTTAATGGGGAAAAAACAAAGACGTTTACTACGGTAATACCAGTCTATTCCACATTTTATGCTACTTCAGTCCATAAAACAAACAAACAAAAAAAAATACTGAGCATTCTGCAATTTCATGTACAGCAATGCATGCTGGGAGGGAAACGCGTGCGTAATGAGTGACGTAAACAGTTTGCCCCATTAAATAAGACAAAACATGGCAATATTACATGAAGATGCTATGTGAAATCATCTAGCATTTTAATTTCTTTAATGGCACAAATACTGACATAATAATACTGAGGATATTAAAAGTCAAATTGATGGCAACCATGATAAATGAAAACAACAAGAATTAAACAAAACAAAACTCAGTGGGAAAAAAAAACATGTAGAAGGAATAAGACACCTTTTTCCTTTTCTTTTGTGTTGTTCATCTCTTAGGTTTCTCTATCTCTTAACTTTCTCCTTCTGAATGCAGACAAAACATAAGTTATAGTCTTTGGACCAGATTCTTTGAAAAATTAGCTGATTAGTCGATCACATCATTTGGATGGAATTAAACTGATTTCAGATAATAAAGTAAAAAATCTTGGTGTTGTTTTTGACCAGGACCTGTCATTTAAATCCCATATCAAAGAGGTTTGTAAAATGCCCTTCTTTCATCTGAGGAATATTGCAAAAATTAGAAATATCCTGTCCAGGGGTGATCCTGAGAAACTAGTCCATGCATTTGTTAGTTCAAGGCTGGACTATTGTAATTCTTTACTATCAGGAAGTCCACAAGCTGTAGTTAAAAGCCTTCAGCTGATCCAAAATGCTGCAGCCAGAGTTCTGATAAAAATTAAAAAGAGAGATCATATCCCTCCTATCCTAACTTCTCTTCTTGGTTTCCATTTAAATCCAGAATT